CCTGTCTGATGGATTTCCCTCTGATTCCCATACACTACCTAGTACCTCCGTCACCATGATCACCAATTTCCTACCTCCATCCTTGAAAACTTCAGGTTAGAAACTGCCAGGTACTGCTGCTTTGTATCGTTTCAGTTTCGATACAGCTTTCTGGACTTCCAGGAGAGTCGGAGGACTGAAATTTACATCCCATTCAGGTTCAGTCTGGTTGTTGGGCAACTGAGGCGTTTCTGAGGGCCAGTTGAACTGTGCTTCAGAGTGTTCTGACGAACGTTCTAGCCACCTGTCCTGAGAGGTTGTCAGGACCCTATCCTTTTCGTTGATGGTTTCACTCACCATCATCTTCTTGCCGGTATCCTTAATAAACCTAAGTAGTTGCTGGGTGTCACCCAGCCCTGATGCCTTCTTCATCTTCTCGCTTTCGCCACCCACCACTGCTCGCGATGAACTCAAAGACTTGGTTAGTTTACATTAAAGTTGCTTTCACTCTTCATCATGGGGTATTTCAGTGACGTTTGCTAACCTCCGGGTGTAGGTTGTCAATTATCTTTACTGCTATTTCTACACCGGACTTAATATCACGCCAGGTTTCCTCAGGATGAGCATTGCTGTCACTTTCAGATAAATGCTTAACTATTTATTCTCGAAATGCCTACTTGACGTCCTCATCTACCAATCGAGCACAGATTGGCCTCACTGCCTCCTGCGGCAAACTAGAGGAAACCAGACAGGTTTCAGACCTGGACGAGAGTGCATCAATCATATTCTTACCCTCTGACAGGTTTTGGAACGTAGGCATGCCTACCAGCGGCCGACACGCCATATTTCTTGACCTGAAAGCGGCATTTGATCCGATCGCCCGTGAGGTGCTATTGTAGTGTCTGACTGAAGGGAGCACCGTGCAGGTATATAATACAATACTTATCCTTGTCAAAGCTTTCTGCTCGAACTCACGTAGTTGTGTTAGGGATTATGAAGAGCTGTCATCTGGATTGACGACAACTAGTCGTGTGCACCTGGGGTGTTCACTGTCGCCGTTCCTATTCAGCTTCGTTAAAACTAATTTGGAAGTGCAGTTTTTGAATGTGTGATCCTTTATCACAGATGGCTAGTCATCTTCTGCCTCATTGTATAATGTTAACCAAAGTTGGTTCAAAACTGGGAAAATGGTATGGGTGGCCAGGCTAAAACTTGACATCATAGCACTACCGTTGACCCGTACAGTGTTAGGGGGAAAGCATACCTTCCATTTGGTATCCGTGTGACAACAGAAATCGGAGGTCGGGATCTCTAGGTGACATGACTCAAAATCTGTCTCAGTGGCACTAATCCATCTAAACATTTCCCCCTTCCTAATCATCATACGGAATTCAGTATTTTCTTCCTTCTTGTTATTTTGTCATGACTTGCTACTACCTTTATCTTCTTTCTTCCTTACTTCTTTACCTTTCATCAAGATACCTCGCTTGATGGGAGGTGTGGCAATTTGGGCTGTGGTGCAATAATGCCTTATCGTATGTTGGCTTTATATATCTGTCTAGTTTTCTAGAGTTCGCTTTTGACAAGGAACACTCAAGTTGTTTATTATGTTATATGGACCTAGAATCTTGGATGCTGCTCAGCAGATCGATTCCTATGTATTTGTCACAAAAGGATTAAGATTATTTAAGAACTGATATCGAAAAAATCGAAATCCACTCAGCAACCTTGTTCAGATTCTTGCAGTAGGCAATGGGCCACACCTATTGTGTGAAGGCTAATGATACTACCTGGTTGAGGGTTGCTCGAACCCATGACCCTCTGCTTGAAAGTCAACTCCATAAATAACTCTACAAGGATTAAGATCACGTAATATCTAGTTCATGTACTCCATATAAACCAGTGAATCTATCAGCTTCAAAAACCTCTGGTGTCCTCCCTTGTTTTAGGCTTATTGCAGTCTCCGCAGCTTCTGCGAAAACTAAAGGTCCTATTTCAATGTTCAATTCAAGCTGCATCTGTATAGTAGATAACAGAATAACCGTTGAAAGCCATTTGATCATCATCGGCTAGGACCAGGCATTACTGCGTGACGGTCCAAGTTGCCACATCTCATATCAGCACATCAAGTAACAAGGCAATAAAATGGAAGGTGAAGAAGGAAAAAAAATCGGCCAAAGAAAGTAGAAGTACAAAGTAGTAAGAGAGAAGAAGGAAGAGTGAGATTAAGTATAGTGGTTAATGTGAGGATAATGTGTGTATGCATCTGCGCCACTGGCATCGGTTCTAAGACATATCACCGTGGGTCTCCAACCACTGGTTCCTCTTGTCCCTTGGACCCCAACTGTCTAGTCCGCATCGTGCTACATGGCTGAAACCAACAGTCAAAGACTTCATGCATTGATGCCATGTTTTATTCTGGCTACCGCAGCCTGGACCTACTTCGGTCAACGTTGTGCGATGAGGCAGACGATGGCTGGGCATGCGTAACACATATCCCAGCCAGACGTTTCAGTCGATGTAAGTTCACAACAGCATCAACCGACTTACCTCTGCTGCCTAAAACTCTATGTCTGACAACAAGTTTAGATAATTATCTACTATTGCGTATCACCACTTCCGTTTCTTAAGCTTTTGTTACCCATCACTGCATACATACCATTTTTGTCAATCGTTATTCAGTCTACCTCCGCTCCCGAACGCACTCGAAGCCTACAGGAGTGTGTTCACGTGTATTCAGTAGCTCAGATAAAGTTGATAAGATCTTATAACTGTTTCCTATTTCTGAGAACCAGTTCCTGTCTTTGCCCCTGTTCGATACAACAGGCGATATGTCACCAAGCTCTTTCATTATGAGTAATATTGTTATGTCCCACTATCTGTTTAACCACTTCGTCTTTTAAAAACTGCATTAACATCCTAATCGTTGAGCTGATTTCAAAACACTTTTCCAAGTATAACTTCCTTATGTAAATGTGTGTCTGTGACTCAGCCCCAGTACATGTCTATGTTTTAATGTTTATGAGTCATACTTGTTGTAGAGGGGCTTATAATATCCGCTCGCACTAAAATACATGAGGTGTTATTTCAACTCAAAACCCATTGTTTGGGAGCCGAATTCTTAAGCTGATGAGCCATATCCCCACAGTAGTCAATCTAAGTCTAACCTGAACCTTCATCGACTGAGATGGTTGGGACACGTACTACGTATGCCTAGTCACCGATTGCCTCGTCACACAATGTTGGCTGAGGTGGGTTCAGGCTGGAAAAAGGCCCGAGGTGGCCAGACTAAAACATGGCACCAATGTATGAAGTCTCTGACTGTTGGTTTAAGCCATGTAGGACTATACAGACTAGGTGGTTGGGGTCCACGGGACAAGAGGAACCAGTGGTTGGAGACCCTAGGTGATATGGCTCAGAACCGAAGTCAGTGGCGCAGATGTATACACACATTATCCTCATCTTAACAACGCTATGCCGAATCTCACTATTTCGTCACTCCTGTTTCCTTTCTTCTCATACTTTATATTTCTTTTGACTGCATTCACTTATCTTCATCCTTCACCTCACTACCTTTTTACTTGATGTGCTGATATGAGGTGTGGCAACTCGGACCGTTACGCAGTAATGCCTGGTCCTATGTTGATAATGATGATGATGATAAGTCTATTTAAATACAGGTATACGCGTCATTTGGCCAATATTAAATCAATGCTGAAGTCTGTGATTTAGTCCTTAACCGACAACGTTCGTCTGTAAGTAGTAGCTAATATGGTCATCATAAATCACTGATTTGCGGATAATGGACACCATATCAGACAATCTTTCAATATGTGAAGTCCGTGCAGATTGGGGATAGGTGGCTTTTTAAACTCAGTTGTCGCAGGTAACCGCTATTTTGAGCTCACTTGGCTTGCCTTTTAAAAGTTACAATCTATGTGCCTTTTTACCCAGCTGAATCTTTCTACTTGTGCACTGAAGTCACTTATTACAAAGATAACATCTGAAGTTTGGCTGTTAGCAATAGCTTAGACAGTTTCCTTCGAAAGTAATCCTGTAAATAATCCAAACTGCAGTCAGTGGATGTAGTTCAACTTAACCCGACCCAAGCCGATGCACCGTACTGGAATATGGTATGTAATCGATCTCAATAGCCCAGATGCATATACACCATATATGTATTCCTTTCGTTTCCCGTTTTATTTTTGTCCTGTAGCTTTCTCTATATGCCGTTTTCTTAATTTTCATATCTGTATTTGGTCTATTGTTGACTTGCTTGTAGATTTGCTGATTTAAAGTGTGACAACTTTACCAGTACACAGTTTTGTTTATGTTATTGACAGATGGTTCTTGTCACCATAGGACCTGATATTATTACCTGACCGATTTCGGTTACTGCACTTCACATCAGCACAGCAAGGTTTCTACCACGAAAAGAACCGATAAACCGATAAAAATGATATTATTATAAGTCACAAAAAACCATACGGTGGAAAAACAATGAAAGGGACAAAATTATTTGTTATTACTACTTAGATGAAGGTAATTTATGAATATATCATTATGACCTATTTTTAGCCATGTCAAGTAGATTCTCCAGTCATCTGTTTCAGTTGTCTCATGAACAACTTATTAGTTAGTATAAGACAATGATCTTTACCGTCAAGAGTTAAACTTTCCAGGAGTTGGTTGCACGCGGTATCCTGCACTCTACAGTGATCGTACTACCTTTTTTAGAACCCAATCTGATTTTAGGTACCTGGTGTCAGATTCAACAAATGAAGTATGCAGTAGGTTTCGTCCCGTAGTATTACGTGTGGTATTAACCAGATTTTCAGAATTCTGAGAAATACATTCTTTTAGGCATCAATTAGCAAAATACGAATTTAAAATCACTTTCAGTCTACCTCTGTTGTTGTTCAGTAATTGTTTAGTTTATTTTAATAACTCCAAATTGTTTAAATTCAAAAATGATATCTAAGTAGTTATTTGCAACTTCATTTTTGTTGTTCTTCCTTTCAGCTTTCGTCGTATGTGCATTCACATCAGTCATTTATATTAGAGGCATCTTTACAATTGGATTCGTACTAACAAATCTTTTCCTCATTTGCACTATGTTTACGAATTATATGTCTTTATTAAACAGTACTACATCGTCGTCGTTGTCATCATCATCTTTCTTCTCTTCATCTACCATACAATGGCATTGTATTTTAGGTTGTTTACTTGTTACCAGTTCGCTTTTGTTTGTTTCAATTTGTTCAATATTCAAGCGTATACCAGTTTGTAAATTTGTTATCATTGTTATTCTGTATACTTCTGTGTTCTTCATCTCTTCTCTGCCAATTCTTACTAAGCTTTCAACAAAAACACTTGATAATGGGAAACAAATATTTCCTACAAATTCATTCAAATCACGTATTATTTATGATGCAGAGAACAATGTATCTCCAACATGGTTGTATTATGTGTTTATCATGCTGAAATCGAATTGTTGTGGAAAATCTCTTTATTCTTCTAGCGTAGATTGCAATTCCAAGTCTGTTTGTCTGTCACCAAGTTTCTATTCATCTTTTACAAATGGTAATAACTATCATTTGTCGACGATTGTTTCAGAGTTCACCTGTCAACATACAATGACACTAATAACTTATTCTTGTAGTCTATCCTGCGTGTATGCTCTTCTCTTATTGTATTGTTTATATATTACAGAAACCCATAAGTCATTTATAACAAGTATTACTGAAGAAATTGAATTATATAGACTTGGACCAGTTGAATATATTATGTTTCATTGGAGTCGATTGGATGTTCCACAGATTTTAATCTATTTTTGGTCATTCAAAGTAATGTCAGTGATTATCTTAGGTCCTCTTTATTGGAAAATTATACCAGTCAGTAGTGGTGCCAATCTTATTGATATTTCAGCGAAACTTTTAAATTCTTCTACATTGACTGATTATTCCAACCAAAACACTAGTGATCAGTCAACATTATCTGTACTCATAACAAGACTGTGTGTTGGTCTATTTGTACATGGCTCAGAGACTTGGCTGTCAGTGTTTGGTGCAGCGGCATTTTTCAGTGTACTAGCTACTATGCTTGTTTCGTTGTTGGTATTTCTGTTGGATCCATCTGGTGACGGTACAGCCCAACTAGCAGTGGCAGCTGCAGACGCTCCAGCAGATCCTCATGCTTGGAATGCAATCGAAGATCCAGCCTTAGCATTAGATCAAAATGATGTTATTGCCGTCGAGTTACTAGCTGGTACTGGATGGAATTGTGCTGCTGTATTCTTATTTTTAGCCTTTCAGTCAGATATGCCTAATCTCCCACCAGTTTATCGTGCATCATGTTGCATATATGGGATTATGGTAATTGTAATCACATGTATTCATCCTGTTCAAGCTTTGATTAAATCATTTCTTCTACGTCTTGGAATACCTGGACAAGAGACTAGTTGGCTAGCACATGTACGACCTTTGTGTTTTTGTATTGTACTAGTTTTAGTTGCCTTTAGTATTTTCACTCATATACCTAAAATATTGACACATGAAAGAATTGAATATAACAGTAGAATGAATGAAAGTGAAAATGCAACCTTTACAGTGATTTTATCACATCTTGGCTCATCGGAAGAAGCAATACGCGCAAGACAATTGAGAGTATTTTTAAGTGGTTGCCAGTTATTACTCAGTATTATAGTCACTCTAATTGAATATTCTGTTTATCAATACTTTCGCCGATTCCCTGATTGGACAGGTTTTCGACCAATGTTATTCTGGACAAAAGCTATCAGTTCTGTACTTGACTACATAATTTCTTTATTGTCTTTCCTGACAGTATGTTGGTTATTGTTCTATGACTCAATTGGTGTTTGTCGTCTTTTTATTATTTGTTGCTATCTGGTGTTTGTTCTTTACCCATCAGCACATAGGGCTTATACATGGATACGATGGAGGTTATCATTCAAAAAGCAAATGAACAATCTAAACAGTCCTACTGATGATGATCTTAAAGTTTTTGGTGATACATGTCCAATATGTTATACTCAAATGACAACACAAACGGCTAAAATTACTAGATGTGGTCATCTTTATCATACTGATTGTCTGGTAGAATGGATGAAACGTCAATTATTCTGTCCAATGTGTCATGCAGATCTATTGTCGACTAGAGTTACAAATAGACGAGTTACAGATCATCAACAGGTTGAAGAAGACAATTGACTTGAATGTTTAGGATTTCTTTTTCTGATCACCGAAATTTTATATCATTACTATCATTTTACTAATTCTCATATCATCCAGATATCGAGAAGGAGAGAAATCGCCTTTCAATGTTTATTGTAAATGATGTCTGTTCTTCTCTCACTGTGCGTGTATGTATGTTCACCTTCTTCATTGTACTGCTGTACACACTATTTCAGATTATTTTAGAACATGAAAAGATACATGTGAAATCATGTAGTTTTCTTTTGTTTTTGTTTGGCAGTTTCGATTTTCAAACTATTTTACCTCTAGCGATGATGAAAATAAACAGAACTGAATCAAAGTGGTTGGTTATAGAAGTTCCATGCTTCTCTCCTTCTCCTCTCGTGTATTTAATGCAAAGATCCACCTCAATGTTTACTTTATTTATTCATTTATTTATTTGTTAGATGAGGTTATCAATGTTGGTGTTTTGTTTGTAGGTAAGACGTCTATGGAATAAAATTATATATCACCTTTGAAAAAATAAATAATTCTTAATAGATCTCAATTACTGCTTACCACGATTTAGGGTGATGACTGTATTACTAGTAGACAAATGAAACAAAACTGTATAAATCATTTAAACCAAGGAATAGCATCTGAAACTGGACTTATTAGTTTTTTCTGTTGTCATGTGGTGGAACACTTTGGCCTTTTAATGAGTTTAGCCATATAGCTTAAAATCGAAAGAAAATAAGCACTTATTCTGTTTTTTTCTTACTTTAGAATTTTTGGCTGTGTCAATTGATGTAAATTAGACTGGAAAGCTGTTACCCGATAAAAAGGATATTTTGGGGAGGAAAAGGTGTGTAAGGTAAAATAGGAAAGAGGTGTTATGGAACAGGTATAAAAATCAGTCAGTCAGCCTAGAAGTGCAGTAAAAGTAGAGCGTTAAGCCGAAAAATGTGGTGGTACAGTAAAGTAGTGGGTAAGTACTACTAAGAAAAGAAGTTACTACTCTTCTCATGGCAAGGCTGGTTTGTGTGCTGATTTTGAACGCAAAGATCAGTTTTAAGCGTATGAATTGCCAGTGATGTTCTTGTGTGCAAATGATGTATTCGAAATACTTTAGAATTGTAGGGAGGCGCTCTGTAAGTTATTTCGAATGAACTACTTTGAGGGGTCAGATATCCAGGAATGAAATAGATTCATACCTTCTAGGGTTGCTTAAATCAGTATCTGAATTAGTATTATGAAAGATAGTCCTGCATTGATTTGAAGTTCATCATTTAAATGAGCTTGAAGCAAATCATAAGTAGATCTTTCATACCACCCACCACCTTGAGCAGCATCCTCATTGTCAGTCGGTAGTATAATTATGTCATCCAAATGAGAAGTAGGTTTCATGGATGTATACAGATCAAACTGTTTGTTCCTATTACGGAAAAGTAGTAAAGAATGCAAATCATCTGATGCATAGTCTTTGCCTATGGAGTAGTTTTCAAGGTCTTTATATTTTGAATTGAAATTTCAGATATATCGTCTTATCATAGTCCCGTACAATATCTTTATCGTATTCTAGTTACCGTACTTTTACTCCACAAGATGTTTCATATATCTAGTAGTAAACTTACTAGACACAAACATTTCCCTCTTCTCAGTGCTTCCAATGTACTTGCTACTTCAAGTGTATATAAATTCATAAATACAATTGGAAGTGACAGCGTAATTATCCAGTTTAGAATGGTTCAGTGAGCATGTGGTATTGTAGGCTGATACAAATTTAGCTTCAGGAACGCTCCTTCTCAGTGCTCCTTTGATTCTTGCATCTATTCTCCTGGATACTGCATCTCCATTGAATGTAAGCTTCATAAGAACCTTTTCCTAATTTTTAAATATCTCGCGTCCTAATAACCATTCCTCTTTTGAACTCTATGCAACTAAAGAGTATTCGTGAAATAAAATATCATATTATTTGACTAACTTCATCGTTGTTGCTTTATACGAGCATTTTCATTGAAGCATGCTTACTTCACTTCTTGGTAGCATATTTTCACTACATATTTGGTTTATTCAATATATTGAGGTTTTGAACAAGCTTGAATGGTTGTCCAGTATCTCCTGGTTTCTCGTTAAGTCAGTCATATAGCAACTTAGGACTTGGTATAATTTGGTGTTAGTTCAAGTACAGTACCAATAGAAGATGTTAAGAAATAAAAGCAATGTTATCTTCATGATCACTTGTAGAATAGAAAAGAAATAGCAGTAAAATAATAGAATGACAAGATCAACCAGATAAGGCGCGTGTGCAACTTCTCAGACGGATTTTTAAAAGCGTTCCAATGGCATTCTTGAAGTATCATTAAGGAATAACCTGTAAGAGACTAGTTGTTGTAAAGCTAGAGAAGTTGAAATAAAGTGAAATCACTAAGTTGTAAAATATTACATGGAGATGTCTATAGGTTTTGATGGTGTTGTGTTCTATGAGCTGGATGGTTCAATCGTGAAGCTTTCATTGTCATTCTAAACAACATCATCAGCACAAACTTCTCCATCATTTCAAGATGCCTAAAGAGTTGACCTGTCTTATCCGGAACTGGAAATTTTGTCTACCAGCCAAGATATTTTTTGGTAATTTCTAGTCATCAGACTTGTTATCAAGTGTAATTTACATTGAAGTGTTTTGTGAAACAACAAGTGTTAGTGTTTTGGATGGTTACATTTGTGAATGGAGATATCACACCAAGTGATACTATGAAACTCTTGTAAACGTCAAAATAATTCGAGTTTTTAGCAAATTCGAACGAGTCTTTGAGGGTTCATCTAGTCATTAGCCGATCAAGGAGTTTCGATATTTGAGCCAATGAGCAAGCCAGTTGCGTTTGCCTTGGATTGATCGTGGATAATATATGTCACAGTGAAATACTTTGCATATGTGATTGTGTATGTGTGTGTCTGATAGTTCATTAATATAAGGCGGACGAGGCCATCAGAATTTCAGATCATTCTGTGTAAAAGTACCATTCAGTTTCGTTATCAAACGTTTTCTAACAACTTTGTAATTTCATACTAGATTTGTTTATTTGATTTATAACACACAGTGATCTAGCATTATTTACTCGATGACGTTTCGAGCACAAACTATTGCTCATAATCATAATATCAATGTAATCACACTACTTTCGACATTTGATTTTTATAGTTATGTCACTTTATATGAGTTGTTTTTATTGGTAGCGAAATTCTCCATATCTCTGGTATAGGTGTTACACCATTTCTATTACATGTGTTGGGTGGAGGTTGATTCGATGAACAAAGATTCAGTAATCAATCTCTCTCTCTCTACCTAATTATATTGGACTTAAGTACAGTGGCTTTATCTTACCCTATTGTGTGTTTGTGTCTGAATGCATGCAAAGCAACAGCCGAGTTTTTTCTAGATTATTGGTCTTATTTAGGTCTGTTATTCTATATTTAGATAAATTCCTATGTTCGGTTATTCCAACTGACCCCGACTGACTAGTTTGACCTATGTACTTGACCTCACAGTGATTACATGGAATTCGATAGATTATATTATTCTGCTTCATTGGTTCCTTATAACGTAATACAATGGAGGCTCTGAACTTTTTACTCGTGTTGTCGTTATTAGTCACACTCGTGTGACTGTTATTTTTTCGTTTTTCGTGTATCCGTAAGAATTTTTTAATAAACTGTGGAGGATAATTATAAACTTTTAGTGTTTCTGTTACGTGTTTCAATTCCTTGTTTAGGTTCTTGCTCTGACTAGTCAGTTTTCTAGCTCTATCATTTAGACATTTGACTAATCCTGCCTTAACTGACATTGGATGGGATGATTTGAAGTCTAGATACCTGTTTGAATATGTTAGTTTTCTGTAGACAGTAGTATCCAAGCCACCGTCTGTTCTTCGTTTTATTCTGCAATCCAATATAGGTAATTCTCCGTGTTCATTTTCTACCTCATACATGAATTGGATTGCGCCTACTAGTGAGTTTATATGCATGAGGAAATTGTCGATATGTTCCGACTTCAACACAGTAAATGTGTCATCCACATATCGCCACCATATTTTTGGTGTAGGACTGAACGTTTGTAAAGCCATGTTTTCCCAACTATCCATAAATATATCTGCTACGATTGGGGATATTGGTGATCCCATTGCTACTCCTTCTGTTTGTCTGTATATTTTATCCGGAAACTTGAAGACTGTGGAGGTCAGGCATAACTGTATGCCTAATATAATCTCATCAACCGATATCTTAGTTCTGTAAGTTCTGAGTCAATATTTAGTTGACTTCTGACTGCCTCCAGTGCCATATTCATTGGTATTTTAGTATACAGACTAGTTACATTGAAGCTAACCATTTTTCCATCCTCTTCTACGTGTAGGTCATTAAGATAAAGTTCTAACTCGTAAGAGTTTACTAGTCTGGAATTTGAACGGTTCCTTATTGCTAGTTCATATGTTGGGGTATTTCTGAAGTCAACTATGGGTCTAATGGGATAACCTGGTTTATGAACCTTAATGGTGCCATAAATTCTGCTAGGATTATTAGTCTTAGGCATTAAATTAAACCGTTCAGACTCACTTAGAGATGGTTTTAGTCGGCGTATCAGATCAGCTGTAGATTTCCTGATTTTATTAATGACAGTCTCCATTGTATTACCCTATAAGGAGGGTACCTCAGAAACTTTACGGAGAATCCTCAACAGAACTGGAATTAGGGTGGCATTTAAACCTACATACTCACTCAGAGATAAACTTTGTCGGCGTAAGGATCCGATAGAACCAATGAAGCAGAATAATATAATCTATCGAATTCCATGTAATCACTGTGAGGTCAAGTACATAGGTCAAACTAGTCAGTCGGGGTCAGTTGGAATAACCGAACATAGGAATTTATCTAAATATAGAATAACAGACCTAAATAAATTTTTGACCTAAGTAAGACCAATAATCTAGAAAAAAACTCGGCTATTGCTTTGCATGCATTCAGACACAACCACACAATAGGGTGGGATAGAGCCACTGTACTTAAGTCCAATATAATTAGGTAGAGAGAGAGAGATTGATTACTGAATCTTTGTTCATCGAATCAACCTCCACCCAACACATGTAAAGTGACATAACTATAAAAATCAAATGTCGAAAGTAGTGTGATTACATTGATATTATGATTATGAGCAATAGTTTGTGCTCGAAACGTCATCGAGTAAATAATGCTAGATCACTGTGTGTTATAAATCAAATAAACAAATCTAATATGAAATTAAATTCTACCACAGTGCCTAAGTTTTACACCTATATTAACTTTGTAATTTACCTTTCTGTCTCATTGGTGAAACCTAACAATGATAATTCCTAGATTTCCGTGAATTTTGAAGAGTCTATATCATCATGATGATATAATCATCCTAATTCAGATACTTCATAATAAGAATTTGTTTTGAAATTTGCCGTAGATATCTTTTCAGTGTAATGAATCAATAGTGACTGACCATTCTGCTGAAACGGAAACTGTTCTGAACCGCGTGGTCA